CTCCAATACTTTGGCCATCTCATGAGAAGAGAAGACTCCTTGGAAAAGACCTTGATGTTAGGAAAATGTGAGGGCAAGAGGAGAAGGGGACTACAGAGGATGAGATGGTTGGACACTGTCATCGAAGCAACCAAAATGAATTTGACCCAACTCTGGGAGGCAGTGGAAGATAGGAGGGCCTGGCGTGCCCTGGTCCATGGGGTCATGAAGAGTCGGACACGACTAAACAAAACGATCTGGTCAATTACGACCACTCTAGAAACTGTAAAAGTATTTAGAATCTGGCATCACCTTTAGGTAAAGGTAAAGGTTCCCCTTGACAATTTTTGTCCAGTCGTGTCTGACTCTATACGGTGGTGCTCATCCCCGTTTCCAAGCCATAGAGCCAGCGTTTTGTCCGAAGACAATCTTCTGTGGTCACATGGCCAGCGTGACTAGACCCGGAATGCCATTTACCTTCCCACCAAGGTGCTACCTATTTATCTACTTGCATTTGCATGCTTTTGAACCGCTAGGTTGGCGGGAGCTGGGACAAGCAACGGGTGCTCTCTCCGACACGTGGATTCGATCTTACAGCTGAAGATCTCCAGACATTACAGGACAGAGGCTTCTGCGGCGCCACCACGTCCCTCCCTCCCTCCTAAAAAGGCATCACCTTTAGGTAGATGGAAATGCTATTCAGCATCTGGACGTCAATCGTTGATTCATCATCTCCGTTTTTGAAAAAGATCAAAACCAAACATTTGATTAACCATGCAATACTAAGCACATCTGCTCAGAAATAAGCTCTGCAGATGTATTCACGAAGGCTTTCACGGCTGGGATCTAATGATTGTTGTGGGTTTTTCAGGCTGTTTGGCCGTGTGCAGAGACTGACGAAACGTCAGGAAGAACGACCTTCAGAACACGGCCAAAGAGCCTGAAAAACCCACAACAACCATAAGCTCTGCAGAGTTCAAACTAGATGCTATTTCCAGTTTGTTCTGCGGAAAAGAATGCCGTCTGTCAGCCTGTAATACCTGGAGATGTCTGTGGATATTCCCCATTGTCTCCTTGATACACGGACACACAGTACCAATATTATATGGAATTAATGAGACACTTCAAAAAAATGTGAAGAGATACAGTCAATACCCCCACACGCACATCATTGCAAAAACAAAAATCTTTTTCCAGATTAAAAAAGCAGAGGGGGGAGAATAATTCTTTCACCTGCATTCATAATGTTGCTATAGTTACCACAGTATAGAAACAAATACAGATAGTACTTTGAACATATATTTCCTACTCTTCTTCTTTTTCTGCAGTTAATAT